CGAAGATTAGAGGTGTTACAAGAGAGTAACATACACAGAAAAGAACGAGGAGAGATAAGGACGGTTGATTGTTAATAGGGGAAAAAGGAACTTTGTCAGGAACAATTGTTACGGTTTGAGTACTGACATTTTGTGTGAGTAACTTGTCTGAGATGCTGTTGGATGGTGCTAGCTGTTGTTCGAATTGCGACAGCCTGACATTTGATGAATCGATCCACCCTCGCAGTGGTTTACCTGGGCATCTCAGACTGACAGCATTCGTGTGTACTTCTCTTTTTGTTGGTAACCTTCTCGTAGTCGGCTGACTACAGAAGATGAAACAGCAAATCTCTGAGTCACCTCCCTCAAGGAAACACCATCTTGGAGCCAACCAATGGCCCTTCCGCTGTTGTGCAAATTCAACTTTCTCCTTGGCATACCGTTCGGCAATGGAATTTTGCAAGGATATTGCGTGGGCATAGCATTCACTCATCATAATGATTTGTCCCAAGAAAGTTTTCTTTATACACCTGAGATGCTGTATAAATGTAATTTTTTAAGCAACTTTTTCATGAACTTGCTCATTTTAGCATGTACCTTGTGTTCACACCTCAAACGCAATGTGTTTTCAATTGTTTACAATATATATTGTTGAATTGTCTGCTCAAATATTACAGGTAGTATTTCTAAAGGTGTAAAAAAATTATAAATGTCACATGAAAAATATGTGCGTATTTAATTGTGTTCCCTAACTTTTTTTAAAAGAGTGTAATATATTATGCAAGTTTTGTTCACAGTGGTTGATCAGATAAAACACAAGTCTTTCATAATAATATGTTTTTTCTTCTTAGCCTTTTGTCAAAATTACCTGAATTTACATTAGCACAATAAACTTTTTTATTGACAAGAAATGATCCCCCTGGATTATTTTAATATCTTAACCATAATTACAGCTATTTTACCATTGTGGTTATAATTTTTGTATTGGAGTTTCTGAGCTTTTTGTTTTTTTAGACATGCTGTATTTTGTGATTTTCTGTACTAGATGAGAATTTTTCAAAGTCTTTAGTTTAACAGTTTTTTTTCACTTTTCAAAATACTGCACAACATACAGGATCAAGATGATGTCTGAGACAGAGGCCTCAAGTTCACCAGCATACAATGACCTCCTTGCTCGTAGTATAGAGGAGTGGTTCCAGTACTACATATTTGCAGAAGATTTTCTGATAGTCATAAAGAAATATGACAGATTCTTTGAAGTTCTTTCCAAGCAAAATATTGTAAGTATATATATATTATGCTCGGGAGAACAGCTGTTTAATGTATACACCTACTTCTTTTTAGTTTGACTCTTGAGATTGTTCTTATATGTTCTCAGCGATAGTTTAAAAAAAAGGCCATGTAAGCCAAAATAGCAAATTACATTGACTCTGTTGCTATTGAATAACAAGGCCATAGTGATTATTGTGTTGATTTACTTTAGAGTTCAAAATGTTTTTATATATTCCATGTAGATAGTATTTCTGAACCGCACCTTATGGCTCAGTCTGTTTTTATTGACTTGGTGTGACAAAGCTTATAATCAAATTTGAAAAAATGAAATGACGATAAATGATTTTTTTGTCTGTATTAATGAGCTATGATGATGTTTTATATTCTCGTGTCTTCTTTTTGGTATTCATTTATAAATGTTGACATTGACAACGACTTTTACTATGTAGGTATTGAATTTGTAGCCTCTTTGCTCATTCAGTCTGAACAGGTTTGCTTTAGTTTGAAATCAGAAGTGAAAACTTTATTATTTTTCCGAATACAAGGCCCAATTACAACAGCTGATAGATTCAAAAAGCAAGACCCCAGAAGCAATCAACTCTATTCTCCTGGACTATTTGAAGAAGGGCCACCCTAAGTGGTTTGACATTGTGTTGGACATCTTGAGGGACACAGACCTCAATCGAAACTTTGTAGCGGAGCTGCTTGTTCAGAAAAAAAGTAAGTTTTCCCTTTAACCCTTTCCACAATGAATGGGTGTGTAGTTCACTCAGTGACCTCCTTTAACGTAGGATATCTCAAGTTCTATGTCTACAAATCTATTCAAACTCCATGTAATCCTCAACTTGACACTCATGAACATCATATTAATGCAAAATGTTTGATTTGTAAATATGATGCAAGCAGTTGGCCTTCAAATTTTTAACATATGCATCTCAGTGTCTGAATGCTTTACCTATACTCTTTTTATAAAGCAAGCAGTCTACGGCGGATTTTGAAATACTCCATGAAGATTTAATTACTCGTTCATATGACTATGACAACAAAATGCATGCTTTAGAATAGATAAAAGCGAATTGATAATTCATGAGGTTTTGAAATTAGTTTTTGTTTCACATAATTGATGGATTTTGATCATTTGAACATTAAAAATTGAAAGGAACTGAAGGTTGGATTATTTTAGAATTACAGTGGAAGCCTGATATATACAGTGATGGTGAGACCAGAGAAAAGGTCCTGTTATATCTGATCCCTGTTAAATCAGAAATGCAAGGGAAGTAATCATTTGTGGACTAAGCCAACTGTATTTATTCATGGGTGGTGTCTCTTGCCACAAGTACCCACGAACAGGGTTTTGGACTAGGTAATAGTTATTGCATATTTTGGGTTTAATGTTTAAAAAAAAGTTTTTTTCTCTTTTTTTTTCAATGAGAGGTATAAGTGGGAACAAGGCCTGCGCTTGACACTTTACAAGTGTGTGTAGCTAGACTTAAGGCTAGATCGAGGTCTGCAGCACACCGCAGCCCTCTCTTGTGGCCATGTGGCAGGCCTGCCCTTGACAAATTACGCGTACGGGTGTAGCTAGCCTCAGGGCTAGATCAAAGTCTACAGCACACCGCAGTCCTCTCTCGCTTCACCCGCTGCGTATGCTTGCAGTGGTGTGGCTTGCGTGGGCTTGCTCCATCACTGCGTCTCTCTTTTTCTCTGTCTCTCTCTCTCACTCTCTCTTACTTTATACACATTGTTGATGAGCCTTTGTCCCTGCTATAACCGATTGGGCTCCGATGAGGCCCTGTTACTGCAGATAACTTTTAATAGAGACAAAGAGTAGAAACAAAACGGGGATTTTAAAAATCCCTGTTATTACCGGGCCTGTTATACATGGTTTCCATTGTTTTTCTAATACAGGGCAACATGTCTCACATCTCACAAAAGTCTAATTAAAGTAGTGTGTAATACTGTTAAGCCCCGCTGTACTGCCTACGTCACGCTCATCCCAAGGTAGGCGGTATGACGGGATTTGTCTGCATATCAATAAGTTTTCCTTTGTTATATTCTTTCCTTTAATTTCTTCATCAGGTGAGCTGGACCTTGCCATCAGAGAAGGAAAGGTTCCCTTGCAGGTAAACTTCTCTGTTTTGTTTTTTCATGTATTCTATGTGCTTCCTTGCCGTCAACCTCATCCACTGGCTTTCTCAAGGCACAGAATGTGTCATGCAGTGAGATAAGACAGATTATTTGTTGAATACAGTTTGCATTCATTATTTACTTGATGAATATATATGATATATATATATATATATATATATATATATATATATATATATATATATATATAGACCCTCTATTTATATATTTAAAAATAAAAAAATAATTTTTTTTTCTTTCTTTACTTTTAACGTGCAGTCTGTTTTGTCGCGACTACAAGCAAGATAAAGAGGCCGGTGCTACTCGCCCGATGTTGGGTGGCTAGCGTCAGGCTCTCTCTCTCTCTTGGACGCTAGATCTACCTCGTCTTCTTAACGCGTGACGGCCCGTGATACGAGTGTAAACAAACGTTCCAGAGAGAGAGGGAGGGAGAGAGAGAGGGAGGGAGGGAGGGAGAGGGAGGGAGGGAGAGAGAGAGAGAGAGAGAGAGAGAGAGAGAGAGAGAGATATTTTTTCTGCAATCTGCGATTACAAATGGTTCACGTGAAAAGTGGCAATACTGGCAACATTTTAAAATTGTTTCACTCAGGTCTCTAAAACTTTGTGGAAAGTCTTTCCCACATATAATTCAGCTGCCATGTTGACTGATCTGACTCTTGACTTGGAGGACATGGAGTGACCGAGTGAGTGACTGAATCTTGCGCGATTGATCACGCGAATTTTAAAGTTTAAAGGAGCGTGCGCAGAAATCCCCACAGGCCAGAAGCCGCAGGCCAGGCGGGGCTAATCAACCGAATTCGTTCGCCCGGAACATGCGCAGAAATCCTAGATCGGGCAAGTAGCCTGGCGTTAGTAGCCACTCCGTAAAGAAAAACTGTTCACTGAATGCTGATCTGTAGGAGTACAGACAAAAGTTATCTGAAGTACTCTTTGATAACAAAACACAGTTAAGCTTCTAAGTCCTAATCTTCACCTTTTCTGGTTTGCTTCATGAGTCTATACTAGAGAAAAGAATAAAAGAATTAGTTCTTCTTATGTCCAGCATTGACAGCTGTTCGTGGACTCAAAAGTACACTGTCTCTTTTTTTAAGTGTTTGATGTTGTTCTACTAAATTCAGATTCTTCATGGACAAAATAAAAAAGCCAAACTATTATACAACACCACAGAAGTTGGCATGTTCCTCCTGGATTTACCATATTGGTTGTCTAACAAGTCGCTCATAATCCCAAAATGAACGCACAATCCTGTCCCTGTCGTTTTATGCAAGAAAAATTATTAAATTATGCAAATTGAGCCCCAAAATGTGAAATTATGCGATTCTGTTAATTTTAACAAAGAATCATAAAGGAAATTAATCAGAAATTATGCAAAAAATGTCAAATTTTGCTAAATTATTCAGGGTGCTTAAAACCACGGGGACAGACAATCAGTGGCACCCATACAAATGTAAATGTAATCCACATATACAGTTGAACTTGTCCCAGAAGAAGTGGCAAGGAAGCCAGAAAAAAGTCCTTCTTAGACAGTTTCTGTCGGAGGTCAAGAGGGGCACACATAATTATATAGTCAGACCTGTGTAAGACGGCCTCCCATTGTCAAAGAGAAAAGTGGCTGTATAAGACAGGTGGCCGTCATAGGCAGGACTGATCAAGATGAAGAAAACAACCATTCCCATCTGAAGTCCCTATCGAAAGTAGCCACATTGTTCTTGTTTTTGTTGTTTTTGTTGTTGTTGGTTTGTATTTTGTTTGTTATTTTTATTTTGTTGCTGATTTTGCGCAAGAGGACAATAAAATGAAATGTATCAAACGAGGAAGACCGAGTGCCATGTTAAAACAAACACATGGGTCGCCACCACTCGGAGAACGAGTGACGCTTCTATCGCAAGTTCATGTTGACGTCCCTTGTTACTTTGTTACAGACTGGGTAAACAGTGACCACTCATCTCACGTACGATTTGTGTATGAGTTCTGGGCGGGGCTTATGGGTTATGAGGGATCACATGGTTACCTCACCAGCAGCTGAAAATTGATAGCTATTGGTCAACAGTGGGAGGGGCCTACGCAACATGATCAGTTAGAGGGATTACCTAACAACAATGACAAGTGATTGGATTATGACAGCTCGCCCACAACGCCAGGGGCCAGTGTACAATTTATGACAAAACGTAATTGAGTCACTAAGGTGGCTTTCTAAGACAGGTGTTATTGTTTAGTGTGATAGGGGTTGTGTGTTAAAAATGTGGTGGTCGTGGCCGCGTTGGACAGGTGCCCGTTTTACACAGTTGAATTATATAGAAAAAACGCAAGAGGGGAAATGGAAAGTGGCCGTTTGTACAGATGGCCGTTTTATAGAGGTGGCCGTCAGAGCAGGTTTGACTGTATATACAGTAGGACCAAGGTGTCTCCTGTCTGGTCAACAACAAGTGGTCAAAACTTCACACCTCCCAAGTGCTGTCCTAGCTACTTTGATTATGACATGCATTAGTCTTGCTGACTAATCCAATGCCACCAGTTCTTTTATATCCTAAGGATTAGGACCAAATTTTCCATTTTCAACAGGTCAAAAACCCCCAAAGGGAAAGAATTTCTGTCTGTTTCTGAGTTGTGATGGTTTTTGTCTTAAACAGATGTTTGTTTTAGTAAGTGTTTTACGGCACTTGCAACACAATAAAGTCATAAAAGTGCCAAATTTGTTATAGAGAACTTTATCAAGGGGGTAGTGGGAAGATGTCATCATAACAGCTTTCTGTTTTTGATTGTGTTCTGTTATCGCAATTCTGTATTCGTAGACTCAATTGGATTTACAGTGTGTAGTGTAGTCATAACACATATACAGAGTTATTTCCTCTCCTGAGGTCATAGTACTAAAAGGTGATTTTCTTTTGAATTTCCAGGGTTTAGACATACCAAGGACTTCTCAGGGCTCTCAGGAAGAACAGCAGAGGGGACATACAAGTGAGCTGTTTTTGAGAAAGTTTTTATTTGTAAATGGACCTGGAAAGGTCATTTCAGAGCTGGAATTCTTGGCCTTGTTGTTGTTGTAGTGTAAAGAAATCAGTAGTGCTGAAAGCTTAAATAATGTGAAATACAGTAGATTCTGTTTCACATGAACCCATTTAGCATGAAATTTTTGTTAACATGAAAGGATTTCATATCCCTGTTTTTTTTCTCCTCTTAATTTTATGTGCTTCAACTTCCTTTAACTTTAACAGGATAAAAAATTCTAACAGATCTGATTATCGAAGATAACTTTTGGGCTGTTTAATCTATACCTCATAGCTGACTTTCCCCTCTTCCTTTTTTTTGTTGTTCTCACAGTGGCCTACCGTTGTCTATACACATTACACGACTTGCATTCTATAGGCTAAGACCCTGTCCAGCAAAACAAAGCCACTCTCTCACTACCTGCTGCACATTGGAAGTGGAAGTGAGAGGGAAAGAACATTTGAGACGAGACTCAGGAAATCTACCAGCCGTCCCAAACTTAATGAGAATGTCCCATTTCATATTTTCAGATTATGTTTTCTTCAGTTTTTTTTATGTGGGTGTGTGTTTGTGCATCTTTTGATCTCTTGCTTAATTCTGTTAGTGTTAGTGGTATTCAAGTAAGTCAATAAGACCATTGTGAACACTGTGTAGGATCATTGGACAATTTTGTAAATTTTTTATTTAGTTTACCATTAATTAAGCTAAAAACTACATAAAGGTTGAGTCTATGGTTTTTCTCCATGTTTGTTTTTCTTGAACTTGACTGAATTAATGATACCCCAGGGGCAATGCCACTGACTGAAGTGTCTTTAGGCCATTTCCAAAGGGGGGGACATATCTCGTTCAAGCATAGTAGAATTGTAAAAGGGCTGACTCATGTCACGCTCATAACTGTGCCTGATCTACAACGCGGAACTGCTGGTTTTTCTTTCCTGATCCTTACTATTGTCATTTTCCTCTACTTCTTTTGTATGTTTGTCACTCTCTTGTGACCTGCTATTTTGCAGTGCCTTGATAGTCGAAGCAGACCTTGTGCTGTTGAAGCTAGAGAGGTAAGCGGTCTAAGTCTGATTCCCTGTAAAGGCTGCTCTGTTGACACTCACCCCTTGGCGCTCTTATGACCTTATGCAGTTGCGAGCTCTGTAAAACCCTCTACTATAAAAAAAAAAAAGAATTAATGATGCACCTTTTGAAATTACCACAGTCAATTGTGCTTTAAAAGGCAACATTTGTACAATAAAAGTCTTCTTCGGTTTTTCAGCTTTTTCCCAGTCTGCTTTATTGTAAAGGATGTCTCAAAAAACGCTCCCAAAAATAGACCATTTAATTCTTTGCCATCATATTTTGGGGAAAATCCAAAGAAACTGGGTGGTAAACATCACCGATCGGCGAGATGAGGCAGCGGAGTGTTGAAAGGCAATAACTTGGCCATGTTTGAATCAATTTCAACAAAAACTTTGACAGATACAATCTAATCAAGGGGACATCAAATTTGTAAATACAGTCAAACCTGTGTAAGACGGCCACTCATTGTCAAGGAGAAAAGTGGCCGTGTAAGACAGGTGGCCGTCTTAGGCAGGACTGATCAAGATAAAGGAAACAAACGGTTTCCATCTGAGGTTCCAATCGAAAGTAGCCGCATTGTTGTTGTTTTTGTTGTTGTTGTTGTTGGTGGTGGTGGTGGTGGTTTGTATTTTGTTTGTAATTTTTATTTTGTTGCTGATTTTGCACAAGGGTTACAATAAAACGAAATGTATCAGACGAGTGCCATGTTAAAAACAAACACATGGGTCGCCACCACTCGGAGAACGAGCGACGCTTCTGTCACAAGTTCATGTTGACGTCCTTTGTTAGTTTGTTACAGACTGGGTAAACAGTGACCACTCATCTCACTTACGATTTGTGTATGAGTTCTGGGTGGGGCTTATGGGTTATGAGGGATCACACGCTTACCTCACCAGCAGCTGAAAATTGGTAGCTATTGGTCAACAGTGGGAGGGGCCTACGCAACATGATCGGTTGGAGGGACTACCTAACAACAACGACAGGTGATTGAATTATGACGGCTCGCCCACAAACGCCAGGGGCCAATGCACAATTTATGACAAAATGTAATGGAGTCACTAAGGTAGCCGTCTAAGACAGGTGTTATTGCTTAGTGTGATAGGGGTTGTGTGTTAAAATACGGTGGCCGCGGCCGCGTTGGACAGGTGCCCGTTTTACACAGTTAAATTATATAGAAAAAACGCAAGGGGGGAAATGGAAAGTGGCCGTTTGTACGGGTGGCCGTCTTATAGAGGTGGCCGTCAGGGCAGGTTGGACTGTATAAAGAATATTGACTTATGTTTCAAGAAATATAAAGTTAAAAAAATTTCAACCAAAATTTAGCAAAATGCAAAACTTGACATCAACCATTGTGTGTATTTGTGGAAAAAAGAACAAATTTATTTAATATAAGAAAATAGCAGTGTCAAACAGATTCAGGGAAGGCGATAGCTGTTTGAATTTTATGCTCCATGTGTTGACCATTTCTGTGCAGAAAAGCTTGAATACGTTGTTGGAAATTTTGAATAACCCTGTGGCATGTTTCTGGGTCGATTCTTTCGTCCTGCTCACTTCAACATTGAGTTTCAATTGTTGAATTGTTTGTAGGTTGTTTCTGTAAGCTGTCCCTCAAAAATCCCCAATGGAAAACACTGCACTTTGAATGAGTCATCTGTTTCTTTTTGACACTCTGTTTATGGAGATGCCAGTTTTTAGAATATGTGTACAATCTTTATTGCAAATATTAGATACAATATGGTTGGTTTTTAAGAAGCTGTAGTTTAAGTTAAACTTTGTTTTTTACTCAGAAATCACTGAGTTAATGCTTTTGACATGAGTTCTCTTTTTTTTCTGAAACACCTAGTATTTACATGTGTAAAAAATTGATCAAATTTCATGTTTGAACGACGTCCATTGTGGTGCCAGCTGTGAAGTGACCTTATTGTGGAATAAGAGAATGGTGAGGTTTATGACTTTGTTCCTTTTTTTGTCTTCTCAGGTGAAGGAATGAGGCATCTGTCTACAGGATCTGAGAATTTTCTTCCCAATACGAGAAGCTTTCTCAACTGTTCCAATGGGTTGGACAGGGTGACTCTTGAGAGTGGCAGAGCGGGCGTTTCAAGCTGTGACATTGTGTTTGAAGAAAATTTAAATTTAGTCACTGGGACCGAAGCTGCTCCATTTGGTGACTGTGCCGGGTCAAATGATCAGCATGGCATGGACCATGTGGCCTCTCTCCCTGTTTTTTTTAGCTTGACAGATGAACAAACAGAAGTCTTGAAAGTCGTAGAGGATTCAAAAGAATCGTTGCGAAAAGGTGCCTTTGGGAGCTCAAACAGCATAGGGCAAACTACTGTGTCATGTAATCACTACCCTGAACTGCCAGGAAGGGAAGAAGAGGAAGAAGACAGAAGCCTACACTGCTCAAAAAAACAGGAAGAAGAATCAGATAGAGCAGGAGTTAATGAGGACATAATTGGAGTTACCTTTCTGAGTGGAGATGCAGAGTATGGGGGTAATGGTGACGAGATGATGCAGAATCTTACAGGTGTGGTTAATGTGACTCCAGATGCACAAGTCACACTGGATCATCAAGTGAGAGCTTCAGTTGAATCACCGTGTGGTTTATTGTCCGAAGAGAGTAATGGGGAAACTATGCAACTGTCACAAGCTCTTGAAAGAGATAGAATGACTGAAAACATGAAACTTGAGGTTGGTCCAGTGTTGATATGGGAGGTCAAGGAGGATAAGAGGAAAAATCCAGAGCTGAGAAGTGAGCACGACGCTCAGGTTGAGAGAACAGGTCAAGAAGATGGTGATTTCACATTGTCAGCAGAGAGTGGCACTGACATGGCACAACCTACTTGCATTGGGACAGAACAGGGTATGGGCAAGTTTGAAGCAGGTTCTTTCCCCACAACCACAGCAGAATCATTATCATCAACACCAGCTGCAGCAGCAACAAAACCACTGATGTCCAGACAACCACCAGTCTACGAGATCAACTCTGATTCTGCTGATGCAGCTACGCTCTATTCTAGCGCAGATGAGAGCAGCATAGACTTTTCCGAGAACTGCCTGCCACATCTGGCAGAATCTGACAGCTCCTACTTGCAGCCATCTGATGAAATGGTGAGAATGAAAAGAAAGAGAAGACAAACTTTTTGTTTACTCCTTCTCCCACCCTCTGTTTGTTTTACAATTACTAACATAACTAGATGATATATAACAGGACAGCCATGAGACATTGATTTCAGTTTGAGGTACACAAAAATCAGGCAAAAGAAAAAAAAAACCCTTAGGTTTCTACCTTCCCCTGTTGTAGATTTATTTTTATATTGTAACTCTAGATCTTGCACATCCCTACCGACACAATTTAGATCAGTGAACTTCAGAGTGTTTAGGAGGTGGGCTGCTTCAACACTGCCTGCAGGTTTATTTTTACAATGACTCTGAACAATTATCAATATATACAGTAACTTATAACAATATAACAGCAACCAGGGGTATTTGTTCTACAATGACATACAGCATAGTGCAAACAGTTATGGAGCTTGGGTCCTGCCCAATGTCTATTCATCTGAAAGCTATCACATTATAGACATTGCTTGATTTTTTGTATTCATCTGCATTCACTGGCTACTAGTACTAGACCCTTGGATATTTCTTTACTCTCACAGAGAGTCACCCTTTTCAAGCTTTATATTCTCTTCATCATAACGTGACACAACTTTTCAGAGTGAAAATAAATTTAATAAATGTTATATCGTTGCATGCTGCCTTCCAAATTGCAGTGCAGCATGTCAAGATTTTGAAAAAAAATGAAAATCAAGTATGTTGCAGAGGTTGATGAGGTGCACCTTCTGGTCCTAGTCTCATACCTCTTCATAAAATAGTACCGTAATAATAGTGACGAATTAAGGCAAATTAAACATTTTGTGTTCTGCCCAAAAGTACTGAAATAAAAGTTTTTTGCTTCTCTTGAAAACCTTGCATTTTAACATGACAATGATGAACAACAGCGAAAATATGTTTTCTATTCTGCTCTCAGAACCACAGTAGCATGGCCGGCACAGTCATTGATGCAGAGCCCAAGATATACAAGTCTCACCACGTACCATCTAATTCTAATCGGGAGAAAATAGAAAAAGATATCACAACAGTTCCAAAAGGTCCAGTCTACAAATCCCATTTCATCTCAAGAAATGACATAAAGAGGCCGTCGCCACAGCAGAAGATAACAGTGTACAAATCCTCGCACATGAAGAGAGGCATTGTTTGATGGGTTGCTCTACTTTTCCGGACGCCAGTGTTGATGTTGGAAAAGCTTCGCTGACGTTCCAGAGGTTTGTTGAGTGTGTCCTGCAAGTCATGTATGAATGTCATAATAAACACTCTTATAGTGTAATTGAAGAATATTATATTCGTTTTATGCACAAATTTGAATAATGCAGGTATTTTTACCTCCTTTTCAACACAATTTGGATCGTTTAGTAGGACTTTTAGGAGATTAGCTTCGGCTGTGCCTGTCAGGGCCAACCCAGGCTGAGGGGGATACAACATCCCAGCAGACGGACCGAGATACTCAATAAAAGTCTCTGCCACTCAGGAACTGAACTCAGGTCTTTTGTGTGTGATGGTAAAGAGTGAGTGGAACTGCTACACCATAGAGGCTGGTAGTTTTTTGCTTTGCTTGGATAGAATCATCTGTTTGATAAATACAGGTTAAGTCGTCATGATGATCTCAGTGAAACTGTTTTCCTGACTTTAAACCATATCTGTGTCGTGCTACTGTGCAGGTGGTTGAAGGAAGCCACTATTAGTGTTAGTAGGCTCTGCTTCTTTTCTGTCTCTTTGTTGCTTTTGTTTGTCTCACTTTTTCCCATCACTAATGTGAGGCATCATGGTGAAATCTGGCACTTGTCAAAATAATGGAAACTGGGAAACGGGCATTTTTCCTTCTGTAGGGCAATTTTTATTGAATTGGTTTTTTTTGGTTTTTTTGGCTCCACACCTTTTATCGCCATTTAAAAACACATTTCTGTGTAGATTTTTACCGAAAAACATTTGTCAAAGGCAAAATGTAAATTTGCCGTTTCCAAGGACCCTCAAGCTTTGCAGGTCACTAAACTTTGGCGGCCATTTTCTTGCTTTGTTTACCACTGACACCAAGCGACCTTCCCCTCCTTCAATCGCAAATATCTCAACTTCTATTCAAGACAGACAAATATATTTTTTCATCTAAAGCAAGTACGGCAATTCAACTGGCTTTAAGATTATACAAATAACTCCTTATACCCAAAAATTGACGAGCACTTGATTCCATGGAGTCGTGACACACATGACTGTTTTTTTGTTTTCATGAATATCTCTTTACTTAAAATACTTAAATCGTACACCTGTCAGCTGTACTTTTATTTCTTCTTCAGCAATGCACAACAATATATATTATGTAGGCCTATATGTTTAAATCAGGATTCAAAAACATTTTCTACAGCTTTCATATGACATGCCACATAAACATTCTTTGAGAAATACGTCAAGACAAGACTACCAACTCTTAGGCCGTGGAAAGTTGTCATGGTATTTTCACTGTTTGTGCAATGCAGACCAAGATGTACAGAAGACGGGAGAATATTGAGAAATTGCTACTCTGTAGAAAACTAGTAAATGGAACGAGAAAAAGGTCGACATTTACTGTGATGCAAAGATGCCTGCAAGTGGGACTTGACCTTAAAAGAGATCAACTTATACATGTAACCTGGGAACAGATAGCAGAAGATCATAGCCAATGGAGGAACAAAATTAAGACCAGTCTCAATACCGGTAGATAGATATCATGTGTTATAAAGATGTGGCATCTTTGTCCAAAAAGACACTAGAGATATAGTGTAACAAAGTGCAATTCCTTGATCATTTCTTTATTTTGGTTGTACGTTTTGTTTATATCTTTTTTGTATGAGTATGTGCTAAAGAATTCCATGAGAGATTGCCATTTGATCATTTCTTTTGTAAATTTCCCAAGTTGACTCCAGATCCATCTTACTTCTTCATCTCAGTCTCAAATGTTCTCCCCCCCTCCCCCAACCAGGAGGTGTGTTTGAGCATGTGCTACTCTACAGTCTACAGTAGCGACCAGCAATGGTGGGGCTGTATTTTAATTGATACATCTAGATATAATTATTAATAATATGATACTGACTTGACTACTTTGAAATTATACTCATTCTCATTTTTATGCCTTATGAATCCTTTTATATGGGAAGATTGTTATTCCAATAACCAAGTTGTTGAATGCACTGAAGTCGTACTCATAGTTTACCTAATTTCTGCCACGATTTTCTCACTATTTTCTTACTTTTAGCAAAGTGCATGGGCAATTTTTTTCCTCTTATTTTTATTATGCGAGTTTTGTGATTTTATTGAGTAAATAATACTTTTTTAATAAATTGAATGCTCAATATCATATTGCAGCCTGAACTTCTACTGTCTTAGCTTACATATAACAACCAGATTTAAGTTAATTTAACCAGAACTTCTGTCTTTTCTCTATTTTCTAAAGTGATTTGAAAACTGATTTTTAGGAGATTATAGACGTGTTGTACTGTTCTTAGCATTCAGTCTTTCTCATCATGAGAATTTCGGACCAATTTCATACTGATACTGTACTGGGGGTAGAGCATGGCTCGTTGCAAAAAAATAATTTTTGCTCCCTGCTGACACAAACTTGGCTGACGTAACACTTTGATTCCCATTCCCTGTCTTTTGAAACTTGTTATGGTATACGTTACTCATATAAGATGGTCTTGTTTTTTGCTTGTAAGTGTAAGGACAGACTGTAGTGAATGATATTGTTTTATTTGTGTGTTCAAGTTCAAAGACAATAAAGTGTGATAAGAACCGTGGTTGAAGTTTGTGATTGCTGTATGTTACGGCATCAGTAGTCTAGTGGTGAGGCTACCAGACTTGTAATCGTAAGTTTATGGGTTTGGGGATTCGAGGCTCAGCTCGAAGCAACGTTGTGTCGTTGGGAAAGGCACTTCACTCAAATTTTCCTCGCAGTCACAGCGCCCAAGTGTGACTGGGTAGGCCTACCTGTCCATAGACAGCAAAAGATGTTCTTAGTATGTTAGCGTTTTAGCGCCTGTAAAATAGCAGCTTGCTCTGTATGCTTCCCTGGAACTTGATATTGTTTTAGAATACAATCAGGTGTGCTGGGTAAGAGTAATAGTAGGCTATTGATTGCAAAGCTCATAGAACTTGTTGTTGAGCAGGAATTTAGACATACAAATGCTATTTATTATGATCATAAACAGACGTTGCTGTGAGGAAGTCCAAAGAATTCCATTGTGAGGCAGCGTGGTGAAATCAGGCGCTCGTCAAAATAATAAAATTGAAGACTCAAGCATTTTTACTCCAATTTGGCCATTTTTATGGAATTTTTGTTGTCTTGCTCAATACTTTTTATTTTTATGTCCATTTAAGAACACATGTGGATTTTACTGAGAAACGTCGATTCATCATCATCATCCGGTGCCTTGCCGACTGGCTTGGGCGATCATGGACCTCCACTTCACCCTGTCCTGCGCTGTAGCAATGGTGTCTGTTGTTCTTGCTGCTCACAGCCAAGTTGTCATCTTGTCTAGTATCTTTTCCCTCTGTCTGCGTCTGCCTCTCTTTCCATCAACAAACTTGCCTTTTGTTACAATATTCTCTAATGCTTCTTTCCGCATTGTGTGTGCGAAGAAATTTGCCTGTCGTTTTCTTATATTCGCGATAAAATGTCTTCTATAATTTGCTTCAACCAGGACTTCTTCATTTGTTTTTCAAGCTGTCCATGGGATACGTAGCATGCGTCTTATGAACCACAACTCTGTCGCTACAATTGTTCTTTCCAGCTGTTTATTGATTGTCCACGCTTCGCACCCGTATAATAGGATTGGCTCGATGTAACTTTTCAGTACTCTTTTTCTCGTTTCCAGTGTCAGATTGACGTTTGTTAGTGGGTATCTGTTTCATCTTGTGGAAGGTTGCTTTTGCTTGGCAAATGCGGCTTTTAATTTCGGTGTGACATCTACCATCCGATGATATAATGGTCCCCAAATATTTAAAATGTTGTACTTGCTTGAGGGTGATATCATTGATTTTGATATTGCATGTTGGGGTTGGAGTTTTTCTGCTTATCACCATCATTTTGGTTTTCTTGATGTTTAGGCTTAGGCCCATGTTTTCACTCTCTTGTACGATGACAATTAATATATTCTGCTGGTGTTTTTCATCTTCTCCTATTAGGACGTTGATTAAAGGGTTAAAAAAATGTAAGTTTTCAGTCTGCACAGACTCTCAAGCTTTGGAAATTACCAAACTTTGGCAGCCAATTTTCTTGCTAATTCTTTTTCTACCTCTGGTGATACCAGGCAATCCCCATCTTCTTTAGTCTCAATATCTCAACTTGTATTCAGAATATGAGTTTTTTTGGTTTTTTTTTAAAAGCAAGACAAAGAAACAGGCTTTAAGTTTAAGATAATACCTTAATCTATGAGCCCAAAAATTGATGAGCGCCCGATTCCACCACGCCTAACAACCACACTACAGAAACTGGAGGTCTAGTCCCTCTGCACACTACACTAATCTGCAAAGTGGGAACAAGATTGTCAAACAAAAACCTGCTATTGAATATGAGGTTATACTGTTTTCCCATATATTTTCCTTTGTTTTAATATCTTGTCTGGCAAAGTGGGTTGTTGGCAGGTGCTCTAGTGTGGTTTGCTTCTTCTTTTGTATCAAACATCAATCGTCCTTAACTCTCCTCCTTCTTTGTATATTATTATGTTATTCTCTTGTAACGCCTCTAATCTTCGGCACTTACATGAACTTATCCTGTTGCAAGTGCCGTAAAACTCTTACTACCCGTAAAATAAAACAACCCGTAAAATAAAACAAGGTATATCATAGCCTCGACAAAGCGGTTCACAGCTGTGCAAGAGTGCTGATAACAATCTAGGTCAGCATGAGAGCCATCATTAATCAGCTGTCAGCTAAGGGGTGTACGCAACCCCAAAGCACTCAGCATCCAAAAACTCTTTGCGAAATGAGGCTGTTCTATGTACTGTCTGAAGGCCATCTTATTCTCTCAATTAATTGTCACAGTAACTGGTGAAGACAGTGAATTGCTCAATAGTCTCTGCTCTGTTGTAGGATATCAAAGCAAAGATAGTAATGTACCGTGGAACTTGGATTCAACGAGGTAGCCGGGCCTGGCGTAAAATCTCATTGAATCCGAGTATTATATATTTATAGCAAACATGAAGTTTTGTGTAGATAAATACGGGCACTGGGCAAGTAATGTATAAAGAGAAGTACTTGGTAACAAGTACAAGTGGTGCCTGAAATGCCTGCACATTATGAGCTGTGCAAAAAAAAAAAAATCGATTCGTTCAAATGCACGCCTGTGTCATCTCAATTGTTTGCCAAAAAGTTGTGTTGCTGTGTAGAGCCTAGCATATGGCAACTTTTGATTCCATAGACCAGCGCATAATTCATTACGTAGATAAGTCAAGACTTGCTTGCTTATCATAGTAATAATGATCAGTTGCCGCGGGGGAAAAAGACTGAGACGCATTTAATTTATACCTGCGCCGTCAATGCCCCCCCCCCCCCCCA